ACATAACCAAACACTGGAAAGTGTTTTCCAGTTCATTTTCCATAACACTACCAAACATCGGAAAATACTTTACTTTTCAGGAATTCATTTTTCCTGGAATTCACTTTCCTGAAATTCACTTTTCCTAGAATTTATTTTTCAAAAAGAAACAACTTTACTGCAAACAAACGGGGCCAAAGTCATCCATTTCACTTTGGTCTAGCATCCATCCCTCCCTCCCCCGCCTCTCGGAAACCGCCGCCTCCAATAAGGCTTCAGATTTCTGCCAGGTGCTTCCTTTTCTATCATGTTTTTGTTTTTAAAATTTATGGGTGTTTTCATTTATTTTATTGTAATTATTATTCAGAGACAAAAATTCTATTTTAATAAGTAAATTAAAGAAAAAAATCGATCCGATGAAATCTCTGCTAGTGAACGCAATTCGATTTTAATAAGTAAATTAAAAAAAGTATATAATCGGATCCGATGAAATCCCTGCTCGTGAATGCAATTCAAAAAAACGCACAATCAGCCGATTCTAATATTTTATTTTTCAATTTTCCCCCTTAATTTACATGATATTATCCGATTTTTCTCACAGTTATTGTTGTAATAATCAAGCCCTGAATTCTTGAACCCAAATTTATTTTATTTTATTTTATTTTTTAGTTTCATTTTTAAGTGGAGAATAGAAATCAATTCAAATCTTTTAGGCTCGATCGATAATTTGTTAATTAGTTTATGCAGCAGCTGGAGTGGAAGGGATATTACTGCCGGAATGGCCGAAAAATGAGCTGTTTGGTTGATTCTTCTTTTTTGGAATTTACTGAATTCTTCAAAATTATTGTGTTTTTAACAACAATACGATATCCTTGGGTTTCATGCTCGCTCACACATGGAAAAAAGAAAGAAAGAACAGAACTTTAAATTTTATAATTTGGTCTTGTTGATGCTCGTCGTTTTCTTCATTTTCCTAGCTTAAAACATCCTAGACAATCTCTTTGGGATGGGTTATTGTGGACACCATTACCTTGTTGCTCGCATCGTGATCGATGTAGATTCTTCCTCTCCAGAGCTTTTTCCCCAATTTCCCACTCCTTCTGTGAGAACCAGACGTACGACTTCTGAACCCGAAGCTCTTCTCTTATGCTCGCGCGAAGACCTTTGAGATTGAATCAAGAGGACCGTGCCAAGCATAAATTTGCCAGAGGAGCTCAGAGCTCAGCGAATGAAAGAAGGCCGAAAATAAAAGGCCTTTGAGCCCGTAAGCCAGCCGGTTCTAGGAGAAATGCAAAAAGCACAGGAAAGATCCGGCGCAGTTTCTTACCCCCTTATTTCTATTCCTTCGCCTCTTCCCGAGAACCTGAAACGGATTCGTGAACAACTGAAGCTTCTGCTTCCTCCCCGATGGTCCGGGCAATTCTTCTTTTCATCTTCAAGAATTCCGTCGATACTAATCAAAGTCTCTTTCATGCTGGAATTTCTCCTCCTGATAAAATGAAATACTTTTTTCTTATTGGATCTATTTTTTAAAATTTTAGTCGAGGAACTTCCTTATCTAAATCTAAGATGCCGATGTTGCAGTTAAGAGAGCAGTTTCTCTTTTGGCCTGAAGTTCGGGCCCAAGCTGCTCGTACGAAATGGACATCGGATCCCCAGCGGAACTCGACTTCTTCTGTCATCGGCGAAAGTTCCTGTTCATGTTCTATTTGCTGGGTAATTTAGATTGCTGATATTCATCGGGATTTGAAAAGCCTTGTTTTATGACTTTGTTTTGTTTTCTTCTTCTTTCTTTGTTCTTTTGGGGATGTGGTATTCTCCTCTTTCTATTTACACTCTTCGCTCCCTACAACATTTACTCTTTCAGAAAAGTAAATACATACATAAATAACAACAGGAGAGGAGGGGGAGGGGGTTCATTTAAATATGTATACAATGTTTTTGGAACATTAAATATCTATTTGATCAGAATCTGTGAACCTCTAAAACCACAATGAATACAAATGCAAGTTTGTCATTGTAAACATTGCATCGATGATGTATCACAAGTGTTGCTCGAAAACATCAAGTTAAAATTGAAGCACCATGAGTTTCTCTATGGCTTGGTTTCCCAGCACTCACCATCTGTTGGTACGGCAAGTTATGAACTAGCTGGCTAGTTTTTTGCTTCCTTGGTTTTAGAAGCACCATGAAGATTCAGGCCCAAATCTTGCTTATAATACCCGAATACCCAAGATCCTAGCACCTTGCCTTGAATGGTCGTGTATATTTGTTATGGCTGTTCGATTTTATGCATCCATATTTGGTAGAATTCTTTAATAAAGTACATGCTATTAGATGGAAGTTCTCTTTAAATCTATTCAAGTCTGAATAAACTGATATTCGAATTTTCATGACTTTGATGTGCTCTTACTCTTCTGATGTTCCTGACTTTCTTTTTAGGGTCTATTCTAACGTGCAATATTATTTATTTATTTGTTGTCATGATAGAAGTGATTTTTTTGGTTGGCCAAAACCCCATGGATGCCAATAATTGGAGGCCCACTATCCCAGGCGGAGAACCTGTCATTGACACGGGTGATTGGAGAATTCAACTGCAGCCTGACTCACGGAAAAGAATAGTCGAGAAAGTGTAAGTATGTGTTTCCTAATATGTGCAAGTGCTGCAAAATAGTAAATTTTTTATTTATATGAGAGAAAAGTAGAAGGCCAAAAGGTAAAATAAAATCAGCAGGATTGCCATGAGGCAACCTCAAGTATCACACGACTCTTTTTTTGTTTTTGTTTTTCTTCTCATGTGTTTCTCACAATAAGCAAACTTGAGGGAACATAAAGTGCTGGGAAGTAATTTTTGTTGGAACTTCTTGTGTAATCTCTTCTTTCGGTGACGACCTCTTGGATGGCTGGATGAAGCTTGTTCCGCTTTAAATTTCAAGGTTAATCTATTGCTATGAGCATACATGTTTCAATTTAAAGCTCGAGTTGCAAATGAACTTAAATAATTGGTGGTGGATTTGGGCCTTCTATTTGTTTTAACTTCTACAGGGTTGAAATGATAGTGATCTTAAAGTAGAAAAGCAGCAGACAAAAATCAATTAGCCACAATGGTGTATGGCTTCCTAGTTTCTCAGCATAAAGTTGAATGTTTTGTTGATATCTCTACATCTAAAATCATATAGACAGCTACTGTTGGCACTTGCAGTAGCCAATGAACACTGTAGAGTATATATTGCAGCGTGAGATTAGGTTATCTCATTGTATTTTCATAAATTAAAGGGATTTCTCTTCTTTTCTTTGTCAATTACAGCGCATGTATAAAAGTTTTCTTGCTCAGAGTAAATGCTATTGTAATGTTTTCACAGAGTTCCCCTGGTTTGCAACTAATTCACTTGTATATCTTGGAGCATAGCCATAAATGGATGGTTCGTCCAATTAAAGAAAATTAACCATGAAGCTCGTAACTAGAATTTTAGACAGAAGGGTGGTCAAGTGAACTCCTATACCCTGTACCTCTGGAATAATACGGGGAAAGGAAGTACAAATAGATGTATGTATTCTGATGCCATATATTACTTGACCGACACTTGGCTATATCATTATTTGTTTTTACTTTTTGCCAATGATTTCGTTGTATGTATTTTTGATATTGGTGTGGTGTATGAGTTCACAGTTCTTTCTTACTGCTGCTAACTTCTCTATACCTGCCATGTCGTTAAAAATTAAATGTAATGTCTTACATGTGCAGAATAGAGATATTAAAGAGGGATTACAAGAACTCAAGAAAATTGTTGTACGGTTTGAGGAAAAGATTTATACTGCCTCCACCAAATCAGGTATTCGGCTAATGCTAGGTTCAATAATTTTGATATTCTCTAGACATGAATTTACACATGCATGATTGTGGATTTATGCATGTACACGTGTGTGTAGTGTGTCCACACTTCTTCATTGTTCATTCTGTAGAAGTTCACATCTTTTTGTCAGTTCTCTTTACAAGTATTTTATTTAGAGTGACCAAGGTCCTTTTCAAGAAGGGAAGTGTGCAAAATGCAAACATAAATAATTAAATAAAAAGAGAGGACACCGAAGTATATGCTACGAATCTCGTAAGCTATATATTAGGAATGGATAATCTGAATACATTGGCTTTCCTAGTGTAAAACTAAGTCTATAGGATGATAAACTGTAGGGTAGTAATTGATTCCTAATCTATGGGAATGACTGTAAATGCACTTGTATACATATATGATGTGATCAATAATACAATTCATTCCAGCAAATTCTATTCTCTCTTCATAGTTTACAGTATATCGTCACAGACAATGCAAATACAGAAAGCCTATCATATTAGAAAGAGCATGTATCCCTCTTCCCCCTTCTCTTGTAACATGGACTGCTCAGAGATCTAATGTTTTGTTATTGATATCTAATTTCAGTCTGATTATCTGCGTAAAATATCTCTGAAGATGCTTGCAATGGAGACCAGGTCTCAAAATAACATACCCACTGGCAATGGTAATGCAGCCAAGCATTGAATTTCTAAACATCCATACCTTTTGTTTTATATTGCTAGGTATATACCATGCTTTAATCAAAACATATAATACAGGAATATCTGCAGATGGCCATTCCCAAAGCGAAAACTAATCTTCCCTAGAATTATATAGTGCCATTACTACAGTGAGACACTGAGCAGTGAAATAGTGTTTTGTTTTGTTGGTGATAACTAGATCTTTTAAATCTTTTCCCTGTACTTTTACATTATGCAATAATCTGGTCCCTTCATTACTTTTTCGTCGGTCAAATGTAGAGCTGTCAGCAATATTTCCTCAATTTGTTCCACTAACTTGATGGTAAAATGTGATTAAAAACTCAATTAATTATTTGAAAAACTTGAGGGATTAATTTGTTTGTTTCACCAAAAACAGACACTAGTGTTTACTTGTAAATATTTAGGAAGGAACTGGTTTATGTTTTGCGCAACATAAAAAAAGTAGTGGATTAATCGGAAATTCCTCTCATCTTGACTTCTTATCTATATCACCATGAAAGTTCTTCTAACATGGTATAGTTATTATGATGAGTTCAATGTTAATTTATATGACTGGTAAATAAACATAATTTAATTTTAATTTTTTTTAATATTACAATAATATATTATATCAATCCAAATTTTATAGTTTAATTCTTCAAAACCACGACATGAATAATGGATTCCATTTGGTTTATGTTTTTAATTATTTTTTACTTAATAATATAATACTAAAAATCATTGCTCGTAAAATTAAGTATTAATTAAATATTAGTATATTTATTTGAGATTTAAATAAAATTATAAAAACTGAACTGAAATGTAATCTTTTAAAGGATAAAACTAGAGAAGAGTCTAAAAGGATTCAATTGAAAAAAAAGAAAAAAAATATAAGGTAGGGTCTAAAAACAAAGAAATAATGATGTTGTTGTTAAAGTTGATCCTAATCTCTTAAATTAACTTGATTTTTTGGCTTGTCCAGGTTTAAAATTAATTCTAAAATTAATTCACAAAGTAGTGTTCTAGGTTTAAAATTAATTCATAAAGGGGTTGTTTATACATGACCTAGTTAACTTGACATATACAAATTAAGGCAACTCAAATGACCAATAAAAGCATAGTTTGGATTAAAAAAACAATTAAGCTGATAATTTTTTTTAAATATTAAAACAATGATAGATTAGATCAACTCGAGTTTCGTGGTTTAACTCATCAAATATGCAGCCCATATCATAAACTCCACTAGGCTTAAAAATTATTTTTTATATAATGATACAATAATTAAAATAGACACTTATAAAATTGAGATCTTAACAAATTTCGTGATATTTGTTTTAGACTATGATAACCATATATATAAAAAAATTAAAAATTAACTATGATGATTAATTTAAAATCAACAAAATATTAAAGTGAAATTGAAAGGAAAAAAAAGAGTAAAAATCATTCAATCAAAAAAAAAATTTAAAAGATAGATTTTTTTTTAAGGGAAAGATATGAATAGCGAAGTAGGAGGGAAAACCTAACTTTTTTAGTATAATAAATAATTTTTAATTAAATTAAAATCTTTATCTCATACAATTAGACCCAAAAAAAAGTTAAATAAAAAAAGGAAGAAAATTTCTAAAAAACTGATTTGTAAAAAAGTAAAAGGAAAAAAAAAGAAAAAACACCAAATCAAGAAGCAAAAAAATATAAAGACCAATTTAAAAAAAAAGCAAAAAACAATATAAAGAGTGAAGGAAGTAGAGAAGTATAACTTTTTTTTTAGTATAGTAGTTTATTTCTAATTAAATTGAAAACTTTATATCATGTAATTAGGCCAAAAAAGAATTAAACAAAAAATAAGGACTAATGTGTCAAAATAAAAAACAGAACCAAATCAAAAAAGAAAAAAAAAACTAATTAAAAAAATAAAGTGCTACACTATTTATATAAAAATAAAACAACACTATAGTATCCAACTAGACATGTGACCTACATTAAAGGCTATCCTAATTTTTTTAAAGCAAAAAAAAAATTATTTGACATTGTCATATGTGAGAAAATATTAAAAAAAAAACATATATGCTTACAAGAGAAGAGATATTTGGTTTGAGAATGCATGTTAAAAATCTAAACATAAACTAAAACAAAGTGGAATTAAAAAAAATAAAAAATAAAAACCTAAAAGAGATCACTTATTCATTATAGACCATGAGGTAAAACACAATGGATTAGCATAATGTATTTACTTTTTTGTCCTTCTCTACACAAAATAATTGTCTTGCTAATAGGGTAAAGTTGTCTTTTTCAATAAATTTATAAGTTATTTGTAAATTAATTGGGGATAATTTAGTAGGTTTACTTATTTTTTGCATATTAAAACTACATCATTGCCCTTGTAAGTAAAAAAAACAATTTACCTTTGCTTAAGGTACATTTTGTCTTTTCTATTTTATTTGCACAGATAAATAATGTCAATACCCTTGAGAGTTCAAAAATAGTGACCTTGACATGAGGTATTTTTTAGTTTTTTTCCATGTTTTGTATACTCTACAATGAAAAAGTTAAGCTTAGAATAAAAAAAATCTAAAGTTGAAATGGGATAGTGTTTTCATCTTTGCAACATAGCTTTTTTTTGTAATATTTAGATGCTCTTAGGAGCTATTTAGTAATTTAAAGTATTGAAATATTAATAAATCAATAAAAAAAGCTAACATGTGCGTAACACGTGTTAGTGTGTAATAGTCCACCATATCATTCAAGAGGCCTGTAATAGTCCAATGTGTAATGTGAAGGTGTAGTTGATGGCGTGACGTGTCGTCATATTTGTAGTAATTCGATGGTGATAGAGGTTTTTTCTCCTCCCTCTCTTTTTTGGGCTTTAATATTCATGCCAAGCCTTTAAAATTTCAATTGTATCTTTCAGATTGTATTTATATTAAATTTGATTCTCATTATTTTGATTTTGATGCTTTTTGAAGAATGTTTTTTTTTTTAATTTCATATGTCAGTATTTTATTTTATTTTATTTTTTTGTTAAACTTGATCTCCATTCTTTTTATTACTATTTTTTGTCATTTATTTTTTTATCCTTTAATATTTTTTTTATTTGCAATTTCGGTCCTTATTTTTTTTATTGCTCTTTTGTTTATCATTTTATTAATTTATTTTGTTTTTCCATTTAATCCCTCACTATTTTCTTTCAATGATTTTCTGTAAAAGAATTTGTCCTCATTGTTTGGATTTTTATTTTTTTATGATTAAGAATTTTGCTTCATTATCTTTTGTTGTCTGTCATTTACAAGGTAATCCCAATCTCATAATTCACTCTACCAATTTTGAATATCAACTCATTTTAAGTTTGGTATTTTTTTAAGTTATTTTTAAATTTTTTTTTTTATCATCAAACTTGAGTTATTGGGCCTTAAACTTTGTTATTTGTTTTGGTTTTTTTTTGTAAGGTTATTTTTATCTCATATCCCAGGTCATGGATAAGTTAAGTTAACCAATTTTTTTTAATTGATTTTTATAATCTTATCATTTGGCATTAAATTATTGACGTTTGAGTTTTATGAATTTTGTCACTTTTATATTGGGGTTTTTCTTTTCATATTTTTATTATTGATTTAACTTTGATCTTGACTCTTGGCAATGTTTAGATAAAAACATGACTGCTGTAATGAATTTACAGACTTGTAGACTATAAATTATTTCAGTTTCTCTAATCATAGTGCTATTATCCAACCAATCATTTTGGCAATTCAAAAGAGAATAATAATAGCGTTAAAAAAGTAGCATGATCTCTCAAATATGCAAGAGTTCATTGCAAAAAGAGAAATTAATGAACATTTAGCAAGCAATGTTCAAGCCATCTAAAGCAGACAATGCAAGTTTTTGTTTTTTTTCCTATCAATTCCAGACCAAGATAATCAGACCTAATCTATTGTTCAAGCGAATAATGCTCAAGCCATCAAAAGTAGAGAATGTAAGTTTCTTTCTGTTTTTTTCTTTTATGTCAATTCCATATCAAGATAATCAGACTCAATCTATTGTTGTGAATTACAATCGAAAAGAAAAAAGACAATAGAAGTTATCATCAATAAACATAAGCAACTAATGTGCAAGCCACTCAAATTGTTAATAGAAGATGGAAAGGCAAATCTAGTTTCTCATTGCTTCCTTATGAACTCCAGGTTAAAAGTAACAGTTGAACCAATGTCTTTTGAACATAAGATTTAAAGTAGCTGGTGGAAAATTTTCTTTTCAGCATCATAAAAAGTAGAAAAATTGAAAGGGAAACAACAAATGCTAA